GGGTCGAGGTCGCCAAGGTGACCAAGGAGCCACGTAGCAACGGACCCGGACAAGCTCGGTGACGGTGGGCGCGCCATGACAAGGGCAGTTTGGAAAATAAAAAATGCGACGCAAGTCTAATAGGGAAGATGTGCGGTTTGACGCTTGGGTGAGTTCGTGTGCTGCTCGTTGTGCATGGATTGATCGGCTTGCCTCTCTTCAGTAAAGTTCTCTTCAGTAAAGTATGCGCCTTTTGCAAGTGCTCAATGATGTCCAGGAAGCTTGTGTTTCGGTTCAGACACTATTGTACGTCCAGTAGCTCTTTCTTGGTCGCGGAATGGAATTGCATGAATATCGATCTATGAGCTAGAGGCCTACGCTCTGTCGCACATGTGCTCTGCCTTCAATGTTTGGTGGCCAAGAAAACGCAAAGAGAAAATGACAAAACTGGGTGGAATATTGGACGTTTCGTCAAAATTGTCGCAAACCATCCTCAACCTCTCACCATGACCTCACCACTGCACCACTCAGCACCACTCAGCACCACCAGCTAGCACCAACCTGCACCACTTTGCGCCAGCTCTCTGCGCCACTGCATCACTCTGCAGCACAAGCTTGCGCCACTACCGAGTACTCGATTTTTGTATACCCCCATATTTGTCATTGGGATCCAGTTTTGACGAAAGTCCAACATTACACCCCGTTTTGTCATTTTCCCAACGCAAAAGCAATCGCCATCAACGCGCTGCTGGCATCAACGCGCTGCTGGCTTGCTGCTGGCATCATGTGGTCTGTGGTGCCGCTCGCAGTTCAACTGCTGCCATGTGTGCCAGCACAGGACCCCTTTTTTGCGCGGACGTGCAAGCGAACGATAGCGATTCATGATACACTCCCATCGTGAGGTGGACTTTCGAGAGAGAACTAGGCAGCGAGGGGCGGCGCGAGGCGGCGCCAGTGCATGGTGCCAAAGCCGACTTTGGTGCCGATCGTAAGCGTCGAGTTATACTTGAGCAGCGGGCCGTCTGCTGGGCGCGAAAGCTCGTACGACGAGACGACATACGCGCAAATGGCCTTGACCTCGGCGCGCGCAATGTGTCGACCTAAGCACATGTGCTGGCCATAGCCAAACCCGAGCGAAATTGATTTCTCGAGCGCTGGATCTTGGAAGCGATCTGGCCGGAAGCAATCGAGGTCGTCCATACCGGCGTAGTTGTCGGGGTCCATGGCCACGCCGTGGCTGTGAACAAAGAGCTCGTCGCCGACTTCGAAGCGGACGCCGTGGATCTCACACGCCGATACGCACTCGCGGTTGACGCTGCGGACCGACGGCGTGAGTCGCATGCTTTCGTTGAGTGTCATCGTCAAGTAGTCGCAGCCATCCAGGTCTTTGGGCGTCGCGCGCGCAATTGCAGCCGGTCCGCCTGGAAATGACGTGGCAAGCGCTGCGCGCAGCGTGGTTTGCACGTCCGGATACTGCGCGAGGTTGTTGAAGAGAAGGGCGAGCGCATTCGATGTCGTGTCAAAGGCGCCGAGGAACATACCCATGACGTTGTCGTACACCTCGTCCGTCGAGAGCGTGGTGTCCTCGAGGGCGCCGAGGAGGTAGTCTAGCAACGTCGGATGCGGTAGCTCGTCGAGAGACGCGAGGTACTGGCGGCGCGTGTTGACGAGCTCGACAACCTTGGCGTGCAAATTGTCGCGGATGGCGTCGGCTTCGTAGTTGCGCGCCAACGGGAGCTTCCACAAGTGCGGAAGCGGCAAAAGGAACCGGTCGGCAAGGACTTCGCCGAGCTGGAGCGCGGCGTGCAGCAAGTCCATCGAGTCGCCAGCTACCGTGTTGGGATCCCATTGGTACATGAGGCGGTGGAAGACGTCAAACGTGAGGTTGGGAAAGACGTCTTCAGGCACAACGACGAGCACATTGTCATCCGGGGACTGCTGCTTGGACAGTGTCGCATCGAGCTTTTGGATGGACGAGGCGACAAGCGCCGGGAAGCTGTCAAAGCTCTGCATGGCCATGCCGCGCTGCAGCGTCCGGCGGATACGGGACCAGTCCTGGTGCTCGACCACCGCAATGCTGCGAGGAAGAAAATACGACAAGACGACACTCAATGACGGCGACACGCCAAAACACTCTCGGTGGCTGAGTCCAAGCGCCGCTTTGTAGACCGCCGGGTCCTTGGTCACCACCATGTTTCGGTTGCCGAGCACGAGGAGGAACGTCTTGGACTGTGTCTCTTTGTACCAGCCGTCCAAG